TTAATTGCTGACAAGAGAAAATGAATAGCTCGAAGGCTGTTACGAGCAATTTGTAATCATAGGAGCCATGGCTATTCTACGATGCATTGCGGCATAATATACACGGATGCAAAGAACGTGGAGTACGCCCTTAGCTCGCAATCCTTCTCACTTGAATTATGCCTGTATTTAACCTATTACGCTACCTGGTATTAAGGGGAATAGCGTTCTATCGTTGTTTTTCAGAAGAAAATTTACGCAGGGATGCGACGGGATTTCAAGCACAAAGCTGGGACGAAGCGCGTTTAATTAGCGTAAAGTGCGTTGCGTTGTTAAAAATGAATACTAGGAAGGATTATATGGATACAGGAATATACGAAAGCATATGCGCTATTAACGTGTATTATTCGCAAACCCCGGTGGTGCATAAGAAATCATAAATAAAATATAACACGCTCACATGAACTTAATCGCGGATTAGATTATTTGCGGATCTCAGTTGCATCGTAAATATCTTTCCTAAAATTTTGTTGATGAGCATAAATATAAGAATAAATAGAATATCGACAAATAATCATCAATTATTATTAATTCCAGATGATCACACATGCAGCTTGCTGTCCGTTTTAAATTGTGTAAATTTTTTATTTTACTTTATCGATTAAGATTTTAACACAAATTATGTAATTACCATTTTTTTTCGTAAATATTTAATCTTGTCTCTCAGAGCTTTTACCTAAATTTATCTTTTGGATATTATTACATAATCGACAGAACTCAAGTTTGCTTCGCAAACATTCCTAATAGTATATACGAGCGAGCACTGAAGAGAGCAAAATTCCTCCAAGAAATTAACCGCGTGTAGCTCCGCTGCTACAGCCTTTAAGCCTCTCATAAACGCGTTCTTCCGCAGCAGCAACATTAGTAGCAGCGGCAGCAGCAACAGCGGGAGACCCTTTTAATTCCGTGTCGGAATCACGCCGAAGGAGACCGTCGCGTATCTTTAGTAACCAGTGCATATTTCATAGACGCGCCGTGTGTGCGCATAATTTTCGTGCCACCGCTCTCACACCCACCCGCAGGTGCTCCTTCCACCCTTCACGTTTTCCTCCCTCCCCTCCGGACACCCCCGGACCCGACTGTCCGCCCCGCTGACGGACGTTTTCTCCTCGCACTCGGTGGTAGAAGCTACTCGCGCGCGAAGGGCTTGGAAAGAGAGTTGATTAATCTCTACAATATTTAAGAAGAGCGCCGAGGTCGAGAGCAAAAAGCCCTTCGCCCGAGCTTTACGCGAGGATAGCGCTTCCCCGCTATATAAATCCCCCTGGCTAATCCGCTGTTTGCATCGATGTACCTCTTGTGTTTTCCCTGCGGTTGTCCCTGCCTTTTTGCTGCCCTCGCGGTGACTTTGCTCGCCTCGCTACGAAATACATCGCCATAATGGATTCCTAGGCGTGTCTAAAAGAGGCTCGATATGAATCCAAATTTTTAATGTCAGGAAAAAAAAAGAATGCTTTTACCCCGGAAAATATTAATATAATATTACACGCGATATACTGAAAGTTCATATGCAGTCTGCGTAAAAATAGAAAAGAGGCGATATATGTCGGAATATTAACAGCCGAGGGTGTATAAACAATTGATATAAATTTCATTTATATATTAATTATGAAAAATGTGCGAGAACAAAAGATTATTACGCGTTTCAAACCGTATCGCGATTATCGAGAGAGCCACAATTAAACATTCCAGGATTAAGCTTCAAATGAAATAGAACGGGATAGTTTTATATCGCAGGATATATATGCAGCGCACAAAATTATAGTATCGCGACGAATCGTGTAATATCCCTATATATAGTGTCGCTCTTAATTCGAGGATCCATTAATTTTTACATCGATGCGTATCACACTCGCGTCGTATCGATTTTAAACGCGCAATTTTAAAGCTCCGTTGAGCCAATTAGGATAATCTGCATTAAACGCGTATACTATTTCAATAAATCGCGTACGCGTGGCGATGATGCTGCGTGACGATGATCGTTCGTTGTTCGTTTACATCGAAATATTTATGCGAACGCAACTCGGCGGGATCGCGGCAGATTGATAGACAGAATTGGGCGCTGCGCAACAATTGCATTACATAGTTTATCGTATCTCGCGGCGTTAATTCGCGGCCGTGTTCCCCATCAGGGATTTCGCGCGCGCATAACTCTCGTGGCGTTTTAACAATTACGACCCTGAAAACGTGCGGATTTTCGATAGCGGATGGTGAGTAGGTAAGGTACTCATAGAATCCGTCGCGTTTCACGAATCCGAGTTTATACGAGACGCAGAAAGCGCCCGCAAATGCGGCACAAGGAAGGAATCGCGAAAACGGATAATTGCATTTACCAATCTACGCTGCAGGGCGAACCTACCGAACTTTATTGCACTTGACTGCGATAACTCGTAGGTTGCGGCCACTGAAGATTTCCCGCTGGCACGTTTTCACAAGAGAGAACGTGATATGTATTCGATCGATAAATCGACAGCGTGTTGCCAAATATGAAAAATAATGTTAGTACCACATACAACAACGCTTGAGAAGGGTTTACTTTGAAAAATAATATTATTATTCAATCTCCCGATGGGTCGCTAATCTTTCATAAAGATTCGAAATGACGCGATAAGAAAGGTAAAAAAAAATTACCGTGTTTAATTTAAATTGATCAATTTAAATTTGAAGACTTATATTAAACAAAAAATAGTACGACATTAGCTGCGTTAATTATTCAATGAAGAAATTCCATCGTGTTTAGATAAATGAAGAAAAGATATAGAGATACGTTCTAAAGACAGCTTACTGACTGCCACAGAGCAGGCGATAATTACATTGCTAATAGCGCTGATGGTGGGTGGGAACTTACACAGTTTATCGCACTTTATTGCTTTGCCATGAACGTAGTACCCTCTAGGCATTCTCCGATGGAGCGTGTATAGTTCGCTCTCTCCTTCTCACCCTCTCCCTCTCTCCCTCTCTATCCCTATAACGCTAAACGTGCAAAGATAACGACATAACACGCATGGGGGCACAATGTAGATATTAGATAAACGCGCCGTGCTTTACGAGCCATCATTGCCGCGATTTATTGCCTTCGCAATTTCTCGAGGTCGAATTTGCGGTATCGTAATTTTGACCACAATAATTAATTGTTTCTCTTGTGAAAATGATTCATTTCGGGGGATGAAATGTATTTCTCGTAATATTTCAGAGCAGGTGTACGCATGAAACATTAAGTATGTGAGTATATATGTTCACTTTAATTAATATGGATTACTTGATATGAGTATTTAACATCTTAAATAATAAAGATTGTTCTAATCCATCCGAATTTAGAATTACTGCAATATTCGAGATAATCTGTGATCCGTAGATTAGCATGATATGAATAAAATAGTAGATATAAATCCGTTTTCGCATAATTAAAGAGATTCATAAAGAGATGTGATATAAATCTTGACGAAATTAATAGTATCTTTTTTTGTAAGCTCCAAAAAAAATATCTCATTTTTCGCGACATTAATCACGAAAGCAGAACGGAAAAATGCTGCAGGTCGATGGTAAGAACACGCAAACGAGTAGTTATTGAGAATCTATTAAAATCCTGTTAAAAGTCATAGCTTGTCACATAAAAAATATCACGCCGTAAAAAAGATATATTCTGAATTTAAATCTACTTAAGATAAAGTCGATAAACATGAAAAAATTCACATTATTTAACAATGATGACATAACTGCTTTCAGATACTGCTGTCCACGTTAAGGCTTTTCTCAACGCGCATTTACATTACTTATATGTCAAGATTTGACATTTGAGTATTACATAAAAAAATACGTTTTATCCGTTTATAAACTTAGCTACAAGAAGTAACTGCATACAGTTAAATAATATATAGAGTTATTTTTGCCGAATTACTAAATATTCATCGGGATACTTTTCTCGTCGCTGAATTTATCTGCACTCATATATACATCACTACGGTTATCGAATCAATAAACTTCTTATAAATCCGATTCGAAAAAGGATGGAATTGTTAAATCGGGAAGGATGTGTATGCGACTTTCTTCAATTTTACTCTGTATTTTCTAACGCATTTTAATGCCGAACCGCTGCTGCTACAAACGGTTCATACATATATCGTTCGTAATTGATGAAAATTTCTTCGAATTTCTTCGATTCAACAAACGTCCGCCGGTCCGTTACTCGCGCGAGATGTCGATGCTGCGACTCGTGGGACTCGGTCTAACTTGAAGAAAAACGTACGGAGAAGAACATCCTCGTACCAAAAATTACTTTCCGCATTGAACTTCGGCTGCATTACAAATACGCTCGTTTCCCCTTGTAAAAGCGCTTTCAAGTTTCGATTCGCGTAGACAAGAGATCTCGATAGTAAGGGAAAACTCGTTGAAATCGTTTTCTAACTTTTTACATAAACGAACGAAGAAAATTCTCCGAACGTTCGAAACAATATGTAATTCGGCGTAAAATGTTACAACATTAAATGTTCGAATGTTAGATATACAATCTAGGTTATAGATATCTATCGCAAAAGTTCGTGGTAAAAATACATATAAAAATAAAGCAAGAAAGAATAGTAAGATTATAATAAAATATTTAAAATATTGGTAGATATCTATATAAAAAAATAATAACTGTATAATTAAGTAAGGAGGGTTATTTAACACACTATTCATTTAAGTGAAATGAGAAATGGTCCAAACGAATAAATAATGCACGATAGAGAAAGCTGATTAATATCACATGCGAAATCCTTCGTTCATGTAACGTATATCTTTTTTTATCACGAATAATATCGCGCTTCTCGTTGCTCTAAACTCTAAAGTAACTAAAATAGACGCAAAATATCAAGAGAGTCGCGAATAAAGATAGATTTCTGATATGCCACGTGTATAAAATAAATTGAGAATGATTCAACGGAATAATGGCAAATAGAAGAAAACTTGACATCCTGACATACCTTTGTGATGTTTGTTGAGGCTTATCACTTGACCGTCCTCTCGTTTCCACATTAATTTCGGCGGTGGATATCCATCAGCCTTGCACGTGAGAGTAATATTCTGATGTTCCCGAACTGCCACAGTGCTCTCCGTAGAAAGAGAATCCAATATATTTGGTGGCACTGGAACATACATAGAAGAGCTTCTTTACTCAAAGCAACACGCTGTGTAATTAATATAAATGGAACATTTGTCAAACGTTCCATTTAAATGCGTATTTTAAAACGCGTATCTCTGTTTCGAGTAAATATAAAGCATTATAGAACATTAAAGTACTCTTTATATGCATCGCGTAACACAAACACAATTAGATTTGATAAAATGATCAAAATAAAAAAAGAGTACAACTGATTTTTTTTTTTTTTATATTACATATTAATTATTACAAAGAAAATATAGTAAATCTAAAATAAAATCGTTTAATTAAAATTATTAATAAAATAATATTTACCGACGACTTGAAGAAAGCCCACTTGACTTATCATTGGATTGGTATTTACTTGGCACATATAATAACCTCGGTCGTCTTGTTGCACGCTACTAATATGAAGCAACCATGTCTTCTGATTGTCATGCGACACAGAAAACCTGGGTACTTTCACGACTACATGTTTGTGAATAGTCAGCAGCATTTGACGACCAACATGAATCCACGCCACCTGAAACAAAAAATAAATATTTAAATGTATATTGTTAGATTAAAATATATATTGTTGATTATTATATGATTATATCAAAAATTATATTTTCTTCTCTATCTATTTTTTTCTCACTCATAAAATATATATACTTTTTAAAAATTAAATAAAATTTTATATTACATCTCTATTTAATATCTCAAGTTTGCGTTATCAGCTTACAATTTTGTTACAATTTTATAAACAGTGACGATAAACACGCGATATGAAATACGAAAATGATAGAAGATCCGCGTGGAATTTAATAACAACAAATCACTCATCCTTGCATTTTTCATTTGAAATTATTGTTATGATTTATTATATATATATTGCAGAAGAATATCTCTCTCTCATGTTTTAAGTATAAAATATTTTCCTTTGATTCAATTTGAGACATTACGAAATATAAAGATTATTTTTCAGGACAACAAACTCTTAAAACTTTATAAAATACAGTATATATATATGCTGTAATTAAATATATGCAAGTTCATATATTTAATCCCCTAAAATCCAAAGCGTGACAGCAAAGAGTTCAACAACCTTCACGTTGAAAATTTTATCGCGTTCGCTTAATACAACTCCAGCAGACACGAGTTCATAAAAGCAGGAAGCAGCCGTCCGTTTATCGCGCCGCGTTTCTGCATTGAATATTTCCACATTAGCACATCACGCGCCCTTCCCGAAATTCGCGGCCGAAGTCTCTCTCGTCAACAAAAAATTCTCTTCATCTCGAGAACCGCCGAGTTTTACGATCGACATTTAACTTATTGATCTCGTTTTCGTCAATACGAGCATTGTCCCCCGTCAAATATGCTACAAATGGCCACCAATTCGACGAAAGGAGAAAGAGCAAATCGCGATGTAGTATTCTTTATGCGCGATCGCTATGGATAAACATTATTATGTCGGTATTTTACGTCACGTAGAGGTAACTACTCCAATTAAGGCCACCGACTAAGCTCATTTCGCGACAGAGCTGATACACTTTCAAGAACTTCTGAGCTAACCCTGCACTTTAAATCTTTGTCGTCCGACCGCAGTTTTGAAACAACACCTCGGTGAGCGCTCACTATTCCTCATTTTTTCTTGTTCTTCCAACTCTTTTTAAGGATACTTTTCTTGATAAAAGAGACAAAAAAGGCAATTCCAGCCGGCTTGGTTGCTCTTTTATCCCAGTAGCATTTTCCTTTCTGTCTATCTGCGAAATGCGACATTAAACGCGGTTTCGTTTGTGAAAGAATAATATAAAGATTGTAATAGAATCTGCAAGTGCCTTGTAATTTCTAAAAGACTTGTTTTATAATCTAAAAAATACCTTTTTAATATTAAAAATTATCATTTTCTTGCACGCATAGGTATTGTTATATTGTAAAATTTTAATATAAATTAAAATTACAAAAACTGTATTATTCTATTGTGTTGATATATCATTTTTAATTTTATTAGCAACAAATATTTACTTTCTAATATATCACTCCTACATGATCGTAAATTCTATCAACTTGTAATTAATTATCGCTTAATAAAAAAAAGACCACAATTGAATTTCTAATGAATAAGATTTCAAAACTGAAAATTAAAAATGTTTAGCGTGCCACATTCTAAAATTATAAAATAATGTAAGTTAAATAACTAAAGAAAACACGCGATTTAATAGAATATTAATCAAATTTTATATCACAATTTTGCGCAATGATCTCTTCACTCTGGATCTTGTTTTCTTTTAAATTCGTTATCGATGTTTGGCAAAACATGTGGATCCGCAAAAATGGCGCTTCTTCCGCTTTTTTACTCGCCTCTTTTTCCAGCGTATATCTACTTCCTCAAATTAAGCCAGAAACAGTCCGTTCGGACAGAATAAATAGTATCATTTCTACTCTTTCTTTTCATTTAATCCGCGCAAAGTATTTCAAATTTAATTCGGAATGATATACCATATGCACCATTGTTCGTGCAAAATATATCATAGCGATATTTCTGTAATTCTTGAAAATCCTATTTTTGGGATCGTGTAGATTAATGTAATTCGAAAGAGTAACATTTTATCAATTTGCAAGTCAAGTAGACTCTCAAAGACAAGAAATTCAAGCGTGATTTATCTAATTAATTAAACAGGTAAACAATAGACATATCTCATGATACAAGTTTCACAATAATAGTTTAGTGCAAAACTTTATAACAGGGAACGTAAACAGCTTAGTATTAGATTTATTGCCATAGTTTGCTGTACGACGCGCGAGAAGTGATTTTATTTGAGATTATTCAGCAAACGAATTATGCTTAATCGTGAATCTAAATCCGACGAGACATTTACATTTGGAAGTTGGTGTTTTCCGTTTTACTCCGTCCTGAATTCTTTTCCCCTCAGGTATTTCACCTAGGAACTCGGCAACAACTCCGTCTAGAATTGTTCTATGTACCGCTTCTCCTTTTCGTCGGCTCTCGGGTAAGCAAAAGTTTCAGGTACGGAAATCACAGTACATCCTGGGAAAGTTCTTTAAACAGTCAGACGCCACTGACGGCTCTCCTAACGAAGAGCTGAGAAGATGGATGGTGGCGGATCTCAGAAGCTCTTGTCTGCCAACAGGATTTGCCGGTTCCAGAGGATCTACGAACTCGTCAGATCTTGCTCCAGCTTGCGAGTAATTCTGAAATCCGTCACGCGAAAACGGACGCGAAGTCGTCTCTTTTGACAGCGTTTCGACTTTTTGACAGATTTTCCTATGTCACATGTATAAAAAAAATTAATGAAAAAAAAAATAACAATGCCAACGACAGTTTTCCGAGACGCACGATACAAGATCATCATACAAAAGTAGTTTTAATTATTTCTCGTATTAATTAACGCCTGATAATTTATAAATCAATTTCCTTCATTCTTTTTTCTCGAGATTATAAATTGATCATTATACAATGCCGTGCAAACTTTCGAGATTAATAAGTTTTACATTACCTACATCTCTCGGGGCAATTTTCACGACGGTTTATAAGCAAGAGGTATGCACTGGGAAAGTTGCCTTCTCGCAATATCTCTCAGAAAAGTCACCGTAGCGCGATACGAGAAACTTTCGTAGTCACGCACCGCGGATGGCTTCTAAGTTCTAACGAAGAGGAAAGAAGCCGCCGAGAACGTGCAGAAAAATGATACTCGCTTATATAAATGCTCGCCGGATTGTCTTGAAAATTAAATCGTTGACAAAAATATGCATGACTTCAAGGCGACAATAAAAAAAGAAACGCGTTAATCATAGATAATATCAGCATGATTGAGATAATGGCAAAAGTCACGTTTATAGAAAAATAATAGCCCCTGTGACGATCTCGAATAAAAACGCATTTTTAAGAGGAATATTTACAGATGGCTACGATATTATATAGATCTTAAACGGTCTCGACAAGAAACTCCCACTAATCGCAAGTTCGATTGAAAATCCTGGCAGTGGTTCAAAGTTAGTCTCGACTAGATACCTCTTTTTCCGTTAAACGTAAAATACTATCACGTAATAGATATCCCACCGCGATTAGATAAGCTGCACTTCGAATTGCATACTCTAAAAACTTGAGTTAACAATATTTTTGTATACTTTATCTACACTGAAGAAAAGAGAGTATATTGTAAGAATTATGCGATAAAATAATATCTATATGGAATACACGATATTTACTCACGACTTTACACGAAATCATAAAGAATTATATTTTCGCAGGTGCGAACACATCAAATACAGATATAAATACAAAATATTGAGAAACGATCAACTCTAAATTATAACAAATCTATAGCGATCGTGACAGGTTATGCGATATGGATATCTAGCTTTTACAATTATACCTACGCATGTGTGATTTATCTAACTAACGTGCGAAGATTCTGTTTGCACGTATCGTTATCTATTGACAGTACGATGGATGATTCAATACAATCTAGATTCACACGTTCATCACTCGCTCCGATCACTTTTATGCTTAATTCTCGCATTCGTTTTATATAGAAATTTTTTTGGTGATCGATTGACAGCCCGAAAGCTGATAAGAGGATACGCGATAATTAAAATATAAATACCGTAACGTAACTTCTATGCCATGAAATCATTTCAACTCTTTGTTGAATACAATCTGTTTTTACGAGATCAATTGTTTCTTTATTTACGCGAATAGAAATTCATATTTATATATTATTTCTAGCCAATACTAAATTTCCAAATCAAAAACGAAAATACATAGATAATAAAATTTATAACAACATTTTAGTCTTTGAATTAGAAAAAGGTAACTAGAGAAAAAAAAACAATTAAAAAATTATTATTTAAAGATGACATCCAAATATACCTTTAAAAAATTAAAATAAGATCCGCATTTAAGCAATACTTAATTTGTATAATAAAAGATATATTTATTAGAGTATGTATTAAGAATTTATTAATATGCTTATTGACTGATATATGTATCATATTTTCGAGTATAAAAATGTAACATTATTTATTTCAAGTTCGTAAATATAATTTCTGTAAATATATAACGTTTGTTGTAAAAATAATTTTGTAAAAATATTTCACGCATCGTTTATTCAACGAGAAATGGCACGTGATTCGATAAGATACTAATGTTTCCAGCAATCGTGACCATTATACATGATTATACTCAAGGAAACGAAGATATTTGCACAACGATAGAAACGCTGATAAAAGTTTAAGCTAGTCTAACTAAGCTAGTTTCAGTCTTCTATTCTATATAAAATGTACAACTGGCAAGTGTGATCGTGAAGAAGCGTTATATCTTGTATTATAATTACGATGACTTTGCTGAATTCAAAGAAGCGCTAAGTTCAGTAAGTTATGTTTCATATCTCATAAAATATTAAAAAACCAGTTTTTCTGTTTTTATATAAGCTTGTTTAGCAAGCACAATAACTGTAATTTCATGCAATTTTTAAAATAATTGATAATATAAGAAAATATCCTGTACATTTTTGTGAT